TATTAAATGCTACTTTACTAGAACTAATTGATATAAAACTCTTAAATTCCTGAGGGTAGTTCTGTGTGCTAGAACTTAAACAATTTTTTGATTTTTGGTATGTAGATCTATAGATTGTTTCATTAAAGATAAGCATGAAAATAGGATTTTTATATCTGTCAGCTTTGATAAAGCAATATTTTATAGTTGTTAAGTATTAAAAAGAGCAATTTTTTGTTAAATATTTAAATTAATAACATGAGTGCTTTGAAGTTTTATTAACATTTTATATAATGAGGACAGTTAGGTTAGAAATTGAAATAATTTATATTTTTTACCTTTATTATAATAATAATGAAAAATGAAATTATCTTCCAGCAATTAACAAATAATTTGAACAAATAAGTAGGGGAGCACCTATATTATTTTGGAATTTGAGTATCAAATTCCAAAATAATATATTAAAAAGCACAAATCATTAGAAATGAAATGTTTTCAATCTATTTATAGATCACCATCAGGATACACTCAAATTCCAAAATAATATAGGTGCTCCCCTACTTACAAACTGGTTAGGTTCCTGAGGTTTTGTCATAAGTTGAAAACTTACTTAGAAAGTACATTTGAATACAGAATAACCATTTATTGTTACTGTTTGATCTTCCAATGTACTTAATAGAATACATTATGTTCATTTAACTGCTTACCACTACTTAGTAGCAGTTGTTTCAAATGCTGTTTTTTTTCACCTAGTGCACTTAATTTTATAATGTCAAGTTTAGTTTCCATATTATTAGAGCCACACTTCTTGTATTTATCTCCATTGCCATATTTATTATTATGTTTTAGACACATTTTTGAAGCACTAATCATAAAAGTTTATAAAAATTGCAAATAGTAGTGAAAAATGCCATTACTCCAATGTTACCTATTTCACTGCCACCTCAAGAACAGTGATGGAATGTCAGAATTTATGCAAAAATGACAATATGCAATAGAAATGAATCCATATTAATTATTTATTAAAAATTTGTTATTTATTAATGGCCAAAGACTAACCTCAACACTACCCTATGACTCAAAAGGGAAAAGAATTTGTGTGAAATTTAAATTTTAGATATATGGTCAAATTGTAAGTCTGAAAGTTCATAAGTAGTGGAGCTCCTGTAATCTATACTAATATTAAAAAGAGGTAAAGTTTGTAAGTTTGGATGTAGGAGGTAATCTCCGAAACTACTCATCCAATTTCAAAAATTCTTTCACCAATATTTAGAATGGTCCTTCAGGGTGGACATAGGCTGTATATTATTCTGTTAAACATTCATATAAATTAAAAGATATCATCTAGGATTAAGACTTTTATGTCCAAGAGAAGGTTCTAACTCTGCCAATACAACGACCTAAGTTTGCTTTTCTGTGAGGATGAACTAAAGCAGATCACCTTCTATCTATCTGTGTAAATAAAAATGTAATGTTTGTTTGTTCCTACTGATTTCTTTGAAATTTTGACACAATGTTACATTCGAATATGTATGTGTTTTTAGATAATATACATGTCAAAATTCCCCCCACTGGAGGGAGATGGACAGGATTAAGGCTTACCGTGAAGAACTCTGCTTCTATTTATACTATTTTAGATGCAGTTTTTTGCATTTTTGATTGTGTTTTAGTAGGGTACGTCAAGAGAATGTACACTAAAAAGGGATTTTTTCGAAAAATCCCTCCCACGGGGGAAGTGTTATACATTTGTTATAGATACATTTTGAGCCACAACAACGCATGGCGGGGTCTGCTAGTTACTAATATAAAAGCTGCCGTGTGTGTGTGTGTGTGTGAATTCCTTATAACTCCTGCAATTTTTATCCAATCCAGGTGAAATTTTGGTTATATTCATTTTGTTCTGATGGAAAGTGTAGGCTACTTATTTTGTGAAAATTTTAGCCATAGAATAAATGTTTTATTGATTTGGGATTGGTGATCACACTTACTTTGCAGTGATGTTGATGTCAGTGACCTCATTTAGTTCATGCTTGTTGAGGGAATTTCCTTTAAGTTGCATTTTTAAATATTTTGGCAAATGGTATATTTTAAACTTACTTCATTAAATTTAAATTTTAAAAAAAGGTAGCCACATCATATCACTTCTATAAAAATAAAAAAAAAAAATTCTTTCCATAGTGACCAAGTGATGATCTACTATCCAATCAAAAGTAACAATCTAATGAGCTCATAATTTAGAAAATGTTATTGCTCGTCTAACTAACATTCATACAATTTATCTTTGTTTTATCAACAAGGAATTAAAAAAGACTTACTATTTTGTCAAAAAAATAATAAGAGTAAAATTGGTCAGGTAAATTCTAGATCTAAAAGAATAAAAACAGGCTGTAAAGTGTGACTTGAGCAACTTTGAGAAAGAATGGCTTTGTCAAGGGCTGCAGAAACAGCATCACAACATCAAGCTCAAGTATAAACTACTCAATTTGTAGAAATATTAGCAACTCTTCTTGAATTTCTTGAAATCTCTACTTTTTTCAATTTTTCAATCTCTATTTTCTCATAAAAAGTATTCTGTCATACTTGACGAGAGAATTTCTAGTTGAAATATAAGATTCAAAACAGTGACTACAAGTAGTCGTATATAAACATCATAAAAAATAAATTAAATATACAAAATAGAAGAAAAATACTATGCATAACAGAGTATTAACTGTAATTAAGAATACAACATAAGTACAAAGTTAAACACTTTAAAATGGTAAAAACTTCACAGAGTTAGATAGTAACAAATTTCCACTCAGCATACTTCTCATTCAACCATGATCCCTTTAATTTCTGCATTTATCAAAAAGATTGAGATATACAGGCAGAAACTGAACAGATCCTGCTTGAATGCAAAGTATGTAGAGTTGCTACCGATGGTATGTAAATTCATTATAACTAACTCCCTGAAATCAGGAAGTTAAGATATTTAAGATATTCAAACTTTACTTATCCTGTATATTTAATTTAAGTAATAAATGCACTAAATACTGGATAATATTCAAAACACTTACACAACCAAAAATCCAGCTTTTGAAACACAATGGTGGTGAAAACGAACATTTTCAATTGCTTTTAGCAATCATCTTCAAGTTAAAGGACTTATTTGGAAATGTATAACAGAATAGAACGTATGATGTAATGTAGTAATTTGAAATATAAAATAAACACCTGATTGGCTGTCAGGCGTCACATGTTTGTACTAGGATGTAAATAGCTTAGTTTGCTTTATATTTTAAATTACTACATTCCATCATATGTTCTATTCTGTTATACATTTCCAAATATGTTCTTTAACTTGAGGATGATTGCTAAAAGCAATTGAAAACATTTAATTTCTCCACTATTGTGTTTCAAGAGATGGATTTTTTGGTTGAATAATTATTTAATTTAATTTTTATGATGCTTTTGTGTGGTTATTTGTTTTTATTTCAATTATTATTTTGAAATGTTTTCATTTTTGAATTTGAGTGTATCCCAATGATGGTCTATAAATTGAAAATGTCTGGTTTTTTGTAATCTAGCACTTTTTGAGATATTGTATTTTAAGTGCATCAAATCATAGTTTAAAAATAAGTTTTAATAATCATTTAATATGGTATCTGAATTAAGTTTAATCTTTAGAGGTTTCACTATGGTATCTATCAGCTCAAAAAATCATGATGTAGTCATGGTTTTTGAATTGATAATAAACATAAGTATCATTTCATTTATTTATCTATTCCTGTCTTACAGGAAAGTATAACTTTTATTGATTCAATATGTTTTAAATGTTCTGTGTAGTGTATTTGGTCAATGTATATTTGGTCAATGGATCTCTTCTTGCTGCTCTTGATATAGCTTTACTTAAGTCTTATAAAATTAAGTAAATAATGAGACAAAGTATTATCTTTAAAAATATTTTAATAGGCTGTTTAGGATATTTTTTCCTTTAATAATCTGAAACCGTGCTTCAAAGTTTGTTGCTTCAAACACAATGAAGTGTTATAAATTAAGACACTTGTATTGAAACAGTGGATATCATCAAATTGAAGGAAGATGAAAGTAGCCCAACACTAAAACAACACATACAAGGAGAAAATACAAGTTGGCTGATGAGGGGCTTAGGAGCCCGAAACTTGTATAATTTCACACATATCAACTGAATAAAAGATGAGAAAACTGCCAAGTGTCTTAATTTATAACACTTCATTGTGTTTGAAGCAACAATATTTTTTCTTGTTTTTATCACCCAGTTGCCAAAACTAGATCTGAAATCAAAATAATTTAAAACTGGATATTTTAGAAATATAGTGAATTGTTAAATTCAAACAACACAAAATATTAAATACATTTCAGGAATCATCCTTTTATTTATTGAAATAAGAAAAAGGAAGGCTTCTGTAATGTATTTAGCATTTTGTGTTGTTTGAATTTAATTGTTAATGAATGGAATCAGTTTTTATTGTTGTTTTAATTGTACAAAATTAATGGTGATAAAAATTTAGGCTCAACATAAATTTGATGCAAATTCTAAATAGAAATTGTCGATATTTATTACCCAAAATATATAAAACATCTTAATATCTTTTGTTGAAAAAGATCTTAACTTGTTTCTGCATAAAAAAAATATATGTAAAAGTCATTAAAATCGACATTTTATCATTTAACTGTTATAAAAATTCTTAATAGATTTCCTAATTAGTTGAAGTTCTTAGAAATAGTTTATCTTTTATTATTTATATAGTATTTTCCTCACACATTTTTGACAAACAATTTATTTCAAATAAATCTGATAAATCCATCTAAGTAATAAAAAGAAATTATCAAGTTATTTATTTATTAGCTAGATTTATTTATTTGTATTACATTGTATAACTTGTCAATGTAGCTAAAGAATAAAATAAAAATTGTTGGTATAAACAAATGGATTGTGAAGTCATAAATCTATTATATAACAAAATAGTAAATCTTTACTTAGGTTTTCCTGTAATGTATGTTTTTGTCTAAGTGCCAAATGTACTTAAGAGAGGACTTTTCTAAAATAAGAAACAAAAGTAAGAGTTGTTGCTCTGAATTCATTTGTAAAACATTTCCTATAACATAAGTTACAATGGAAAATGGTATTGTATGAAACTTTATAACAAACAGTTTTATGTGCAGAACCTTTTATCCTGGTGAATTTTTATGAACACCATAAGTTAAGTGCTTTCAACAATAACATTTAGTAAAATAAACACATTAAAAATTAATAAATTCTTATATGATAAATATTATATTTTTAGATAAAAATTGATGAGATATTTCAGTGTAACTCTCCTATAATCTAAAAACAAAAAATTTATAGATAAAAATTAATATTTTATCGTAGTATATGACGAAACAATTGAAATTTTCTAAGCTAGATATTAACTCTAATGTATACACTTGAATAATCCCATTCTGGGTCTGTTTTTTAAATTTCTTTGGAATGTGGGTTTATTTAATCCCATGGGGATACCTGACTTTGAGTTTATATTTATTTTTTTTCAAAATTAATTTTTCTGTGTGTTTGTACCAGAGGCTACAGAGACTTAAATGAAAACCAAAAGATAATTCTAAAAAGTAACACAGATAACAAGAAATGCAGCACAGTAATTTACACAATTACAGTTTTGAATAGGTTATTTACAGTAATCTGTAGCATAGAAAATATGATTTAAATAAACCTACAGGTGGGTATATTAAGTATTGTGGATTTATTTTTTTAAATGCAACAGGGAATGTGAATTAATTTTGGCCCATGAAGTAATTTAAACCTCTAGGTCTAATTGTATGCATATTTTTAGTTAACTGTCATATAAAAAATATTAAGCTATATATATATGTACATTACAAATTTAAGTAAATATTAAATGAGATAAAATAAACTATAACATTATCATGATAAATGTATAACATACTGAACTATAACATAATTTACATTAAAATAGTCTATACGGTAGAGCCTCGATTATCCGACCCCCGATTAACTGACACCTCGGTTAACTGACCGTCCTAATTGGCAAATTTCAAATGTCCGCTAGTGATGTGGCACTACAATATTTGGCTATGTCTTGGCTACTTTAATATTATTTTTACGTGTTTTAGCTGGCAACACTCATTCGACCATGAAAGGGAGCCAGTATTTAAACGAGGCTTAATTTTCTAATTTTTAACGATAGAATAGCGACGATTATTATTTTAAAAAATTTTTGTTAGGCTTAACATCGATGAAAATTCAACGCAAAGTAGGTTAATAGCGATATACTAATATACTAATTACATGGGATATAATAACATACTACACTAATAATGGATTTTTTCATACTTTTCGGTTATCCAACTTTCAATTATCCGACCAACCCCAGTCCCCAGTTGAGTCGGATAATCGAGGCTCTACTGTAGATTCTTTGTTCAACATAGTGCCAATTATCTGAATTATCAATTTAATGAATCACTACAGTCATAGAATACAGGCTTGATCTTTGACATATGAACCCTCATTTTCTGAGTCATTCTAAGTGATCGTTATTCTGTGTCTATTCTAGTCTGTTTCTAACCATTGTCATCATCACATGTTAATGTTCAGTTGTGTCCTATTTCATTTTTCAAATCCATTCTAATTTTTATAGGAATTAAAATAGTTACATGTCATATAAACAAAAATGTGTTGTCTGATAATGGCAAATAACAAATAAATACTATGCATAGCATCCTTTTAATCCAAAAAAATTTTTCTTGGTAGACGATCTCACAGCTTTCTGGTCAGAAAATTACGGTTTTATTTCAAAAATTGAACTACAAATGCATTTCGGGTTGGTTTAACTTTTCAACCCCTCTTCAGTGCTGTTCAAAAAAATATATATACAAACTGTAATTAAGGACACAGCATTATTTAAATATCACGTAAAAAGATTTTTACAAAACAAACACATATCACATAAGGGCAAATATTAAAAATTCTATTTCTGTATTTTTATCTTATCTTCCATATGTATATATAACATTCTATTATATTACAAAAAAAATTTTTTTTGGATTAAAAGGACGCTAAACATAGAAATTGAATAAACAGCAACCATACTATATTAACAAATAATTAATTTATAGAAGAAAAAACAAACAGGTTAAAAAAATTCTTAAAAAGAGTTTTTAATAATTATTATAATGGTTCTTTATAGCAGTATTATAATTATTTTTGAGGATAAGAATATTTTTTACTTTAATCTGATTATCTGAACTTCTGATTATTCAAAGCACTTTTATCACAAATTAGTTTGGATGATCAGAATTCTGTGTATTTTTAATAATAAAAAATCTGCATATTTTATTGTATTTAAATATATTTATTTTTTAAAATAAGTTTTCTTATGTAAAGTGTTTTCTAAGATATATTTTTTGGAATTTTTTAATTTTATTTAAAACATAACAGTTGAGTTTATTTTATACTATGCTATTCAATTTTTTTGTAATATTAGGATTTAAGTTTCTTGTTTAGTTGTTTAACATGGAAAATAATGATATCTGTATTCTGTTGCACTATAAAATGATATAAACAAAATGTTTTGAAGACTTTTGTATCAGGTTGTAAAGGTGAAATTTAGACATTATGAATTTTTAAAAAATGACTGGAAAAGAAATGTTCTAGAACATTTGATATGTTATATGCTATCTACCAGAAAGTAATTGGACACCCCTGCAAACAGTGATATTTGCTATCTTAATACACATCATGGCCGCTGCAGAATATTGAGTGGGAAAGAAAATCACATTGGTCGCATGCAAAATGCACACAGTTCGGAGCTGTCTGATTTTGAAAAAAGTGTAATCATTGGTAATCACAGAAATGGCCATTCCATACGTGACATATCCAGCGAGCTGAAGTACCAAAAATCAACAGTGTGCTACATGATTCACAAGTGGAAGGTGAGCTGTAACTGTCAGAATAAGCCCCGACCAGACAGGCCCACAAAACTGGGAGTTAGAGACCAACGGTGCTCTCCAGAGAAATTTGGAAGAACCACACCCAAACGAAGGCTCACAACTGTAGGGAGTTTCAAATGGCAACTGGGACTTGTTTTGATGAATACCATCTGTAAGGAAGCCCATCTGCTCAATTATCATGGACGTGCTGCTGTCCATAAGCCTTTCATTACCAGGACCAACAGCGCTGCTCGGCTAGCTTGGTGCAAAGAATGTAGAGAGTGGACTGTAGAACAGTGGAAACAGGTTCTCTGGAGTGACGAATTCAGGTTCACCCTCTTCTGTTCGGATGGCAGAATCTGGGTTTGGTGTCAGACTGGAGAACGCCTCTGGTTCGGCATAGTACACAGCCACCAGTGTGAACTGAGTATAACCCACTAAACCCAACATAATAATAATACTCTGTTTGCTTGCTGTCATCATAAATGCATTACATTCTCTAATAATTTGGAGTTTAAATTTAAACTGCCCTTTATATTCAGATTTTCAGATACTTAGCATAAGTGGATTTAATATTTCAAATTATTAAATTTTCTATCAATCTAATTACAAGTATTTCCAGATATTTTAAATGAGAAGTTGATGTGCAATATATCATATGTGCCCTATCAAAAATGACATCAACATTCTGGTCAGAGGCAAAGACCACTAAGGCACTTGTAGTAGGCATTATCAGACTGAGTCTTGATGATCTTTGATCCTGGTATGGAGTGATCTATACATGGCACCAATATATTCAAAGGAATGATCTATCCTGTTATATCAAGGTATTGAGTAAAGACCTGGAAGAGTAGTTTCATTTGCAGGATCTACATCATTCCTGGATAAGGAAAATACATTCTGGCTCCTTTTATAAGCAATTCAAAAGTTGGAGCATTGAGCTATATCTTTGAAGATCCTGTTCAAGAGTTTGCTGTAGGTGACTGTACAGCTTAGTCTTCTCAGAGCTGGAACTTAAATGAGAATAATAGCAATGTATCAATGAGGAGATAAAGCTGGGTCAGTATCTTAATATGGTAGCAATATAGTAAATGTGTGTTATTTTCCACTACCTAAGAGATGTTCTGGAAGAGGTCCTTATAAAAAAAACAAGGGCTTTCCCTGCTAGTCTCTTTTTAAGGATGTTGAAAGCAGCCGATTTGTAAGTTGGTGGACTGTGAGATGTTGGGGGAATATAAGTGGATTGTGAGACACTTTTTGATAAACCTCAGTAGTCAGAGCGCCATCATTGAAAGTAATGAGGACATCAAGGAAATGGACACAGCAGTCCTTCTTCTTCTGTCTGTTTCATATGGAGATTCTAGCTTTAGTTGCTCTTTCTCCGATAGACATCGCCTATCAGTTAAGTGAAGCAGCCTGAGTGATTGATATAGCATTCCAGCATCGCCTAATGCTGGCGATGGGTGATGGAGGTAGTAGACCAATATATAGGCATCAAAGAGTGAACTAAAGTCATATTTAAAGACAGGGTGTTGCCTAGATTATTTCGGGCCCTTGTATATTCTGGGCAGTAAAGCAAGTAGTGTAGTGTCATTTCCCTAGTGCCACAATGAGGACAATTCAGCAAGTCGCGTAGACTCTGTGTAAAGAGAAATGCATGCAGAGGGCCATCTCCGTCCTGAGATTGGCCAAGAGGGTTTCCACATGACAGGACGATGTGCAACTATAATCCCAGGAATCAAAAGGGTGAATATGATTGCGATGCGACCTTTATTGTGAAGGGCCACCGACTAAGTGTCCGTCAGTGTCCTAATCGAGATTTCCCATATGGACTGAGTGAGGTCTTGTGACATGAGAGGGTTCCTGATGGATCCACAAAATGGACTGCTTTGTCAGCAGCTTCATTGATCAATATATGTGTGTGGCCTGGAGTCCACGCAATGACTATGGGCTCCATGTAAGAGGTAATGGCTGCCTTGAGGTCAGTGATTACCGATGGTGAAGTAAATGAGACATTGGCCACAGCCTGGAGGACACTGCAGCTGTCAGAGAAAATGACTGTGGGCCTTTCAAGCAGGGCACTAATTTGAATCGACCGCTTTATCCCCGGGCCTCTGTCCTGAAAATACTGCAATATTCATTAAGGGACCAGGCTTTGGTCTTATGACTGGACAGGAGTGCCACTCCAATTGCAGTCCAGGTTCGAGATTTTAAAGCGTCTGCCCCCAGACACTTTAAAATCGCGATGGCCGGGCTGGTAAAGCCAGCCCGGCCATTTATGATGACGGTCGCCCAGAACCAGTCATACACGACATACAGCAAGTTGGTGGACATTGTAGAGTAGTCATCGATGCTGATGCAAGGACAGACTTTGGTTGGGCGAGGTAGTATATCCTGCTGGCGGTATATGTGTTTAATTGGCAGGCGTTCCCGCTGAAAGTAAGATAAGATGTGGAACACGTAGGGAATGCCACCAGTAAAGTCCAAGCTGTTAGCTGTGTGGAATAGATTATGAAGAGGGCTATAAGTCCCTCTTGAGAAATGCCTTAACCTCGTGGCTTTGTTTATCCACAAAGGATAAATGAGCATAAATATTCTGTAGGTAAGAACATCGATAGTACTGTTCTGGTGGCATTTGCCAAACAACAGGATGTAACCGTATAAGTATGTAGGTAAGAACATCGATAGTACTGTTCTGGCGGCATTTGCCAAACAACAGGATGTAACCGTATACTGGGATCGTGCAGCGATCGTTAGGGCCACGAGATCATTACAAGCGGTGAAGCATCTTGAAAAAATAGAAATACATAAAGCGCATATAGCCACGGAATGTATTAATCACAGAGATGCAGAAGGTTTGGCAACTGCTTGGAAGTCATTTTATACTAACACAAGTTAATACATGTATCCATGATGATGGCATTATTATTTATTTAGGTTTATTTATTTATTTATTTATTTATTTATGTGTGTATGTGTACAACAGCATACTCAGGATTTAATCTTGAGGAGCCGAGTTGAACGAATAAACTTCNTGAATTATTCGTGAATATTACAAGGTCTCTGTAAGTCCGCACGAAAAATATATAAATTTTAAGTTTAGCGGTAGACCAACACACAGCTGTTAGCTAATGACTTCTCTTTATTTAATTACTGTAGATGCATTTTGGTCCTATTAAGGGACCCTCTTCAGTACTATAAAATATAAACATTTTTAATAAGCCCTTTTGCAAGTAAAAATATCAATATAACAATTAACACTTTAGTTTTACATTACCATTTAGAATACACAGCTTTGATTATCCATTCCATTAACACTTTCATCCATATCATATGTTTAGGTATTATAGAACGTATATTCTTATTTAATTTCAAGGTCTTAGGTGTGTACTCATCTCTTAGAAAGCATCTAAAATAATCTATATCATGTCTTAATACTTCCACTCGCTTGGTGAGGTTCATTAGTTTTTTTGTCATATCCTTTTTATTTTCACAAATTTTAATTAAATTTCTTATGACTGCTGTTAATATATGAATATTACAAGGTCTCTGTAAGTCCGCGGACTTACAGAGACCTTGTAATATTCATATATTAACAGCAGTCATAAGAAATTTAATTAAAATTTGTGAAAATAAAAAGGATATGACGAAAAAACTAATGAACCTCACCAAGCGAGTGGAAGTATTAAGACATGATATAGATTATTTTAGATGCTTTCTAAGAGATGAGTACACACCTAAGACCTTGAAATTAAATAAGAATATACGTTCTATAATACCTAAACATATGATATGGATGAAAGTGTTAATGGAATGGATAATCAAAGCTGTGTATTCTAAATGGTAATGTAAAACTAAAGTGTTAATTGTTATATTGATATTTTTACTTGCAAAAGGGCTTATTAAAAATGTTTATATTTTATAGTACTGAAGAGGGTCCCTTAATAGGACCAAAATGCATCTACAGTAATTAAATAAAGAGAAGTCATTAGCTAACAGCTGTGTGTTGGTCTACCGCTAAACTTAAAATTTATATATTTTTCGTGCGGACTTACAGAGACCTTGTAATATTCACGAATAATTCAATTTTGGGTATCATTTGTGAACTTGATGATTGGAGCTTAATGTGCTTCAGGCCTTTGAAGATCACATTTTCCTTTATTCCAGATATATGGTATCATGATTTAATTCTGGGGTAACCAGATGGCGAGGGATGGACTAACATAGATCAAACCACCTATGAATATTTGAGGATCTCAGTCAGACATGAACTCAGATGTAAGTGAGCATAAATTTGCTATTTTGATATTGACTTGATTTAATCTGATCTGAGCTGCAATGTGTGTAAAATGTTCACATTGTAATCAAATATTTAATATACAACTATCCATTTAATCAAATATAGTAATATTGTAATCAGATATAGTAATATACAACTATCCCTTTATTATTTAAATGGATAGTTGTATATTTTCCAAATTAAATCTGTATTGTATTTTTAAATCATTTAATAATAATAAATCTTATGAATTAAGACTTGTTAATAAAGCTTTTTAAATTTTTCAAATTGATTTTCTTTAGGCAAAAAATTTATAAATCTAGTGCTTTTGGACAGTACACTGTATCTTCACATTTACTTCTGATAGCCTGAAAACACTAGATTTTATTATAAGATTTTTGCCCCTAAGAAAGCAATTTGAATTACATATAAAAAAAAAGTGTGTGTGTGTGGAAAGCTATAGTATTTTCAGGCAATATACTCAACCTTTAATTGATTCCTAATGATGATTGTATTACTTGAAAATGATAATTTTCTTAGAAGACTGTTGGCCTAAAACAGCAAGTTTTAATTGGATCTGACAAATTCTCTTTCTTGAAAAGGAATTTATCAGATTTGAACTTTATCCAAATGCATGAATTTCAGTCTTATACAAAATGCTAATTGAAACAAATAGAATTTTATTTTAATAAAACTATTTGTTGTATATGTTATGGACAAAGTGATTAATATGGGCATTATTCATAATGACCAACAAAATTGGACATTGTAATAAATTTCAATAATTTATCAAATTGACCGGTGATTATGAATACTGCTACCATCTAGTCGGGCAAAGTGATAATAATACGTTGAGGAGTGATCATCCGACATACGTTAGCCAATCAGAACTTGCATCTTACTTGCTCATGTGTATTGCATTTAGTACCGAATTTTAAATTTATGTGACTAGTAGTTAATCATTCTTCTTTGACAAAAGTAACGATCATGGAGGAATCATTAAGTGTTATGAATAATTGCTTCAACAACCGATTAAACGAGTTAATAGCAGAAAAAGGTGACAACAATCAAATTTTTACAAAATCAGCATATTTGTCAATGATACAAAAAGTGAGAGTCAAAAATGAAAGTTACTTCTAAGTTACCGGAAGAATATCAGCGTTTACGTAGATATGACATTGTATCTATCGGAAATTTAGAAAAATTAATTATGCCTGTAAAAGAAGGTAATGCGATTAAATATTACGTTCACATGGAAGAAATATTTCAGATATTGCACGATGCCCATATTGCTATTGGACATCACGGTAGAAACCGCATGGAAAAAGAATTAAGTACGAAATATAAAAATATTACAAGAGAGATGATCATAATTTATTTGAACTTGTGTGAAATCTGTCAGAAAAAAAGAATATTCCTAAGAAAAATCTAAATCAGGATGTTATTAGTATTACAGAATTGGTGAATGAATAAGAAACAATCCACACAATTGATCCAAAAATAGAAGAAAAAATAAGAAGTGTGTCTAAAACAAGGGCTTTGTTTAATCTTAAAATGCAAGCAGAAAAAATGATTAATACATCAAATTCCAAATACACAGCAGCTAATGTTGGTGATACAGTAAGGATTTGTGTATCTGATGTAGATTGAGCCCGCAGTGATGGAAAAAATATTTTAGGTGTCGTTGTTGCGGTTAAAGATAAAAACCTTTACAAACTGGGTACCAGTTTGTAAAGGTTTTTATCTTTAACCGCATATTATCTTTAACATGGCATATTAAATCTATTATATTCCAGAAACCAATTTGCAGTTTGTAAAGAAAACTTCATTTCTGTTGGAGATGTACCGGGTGCAGAAATTTCGCTTAGAAAATGTGCAAGAATGTCATCGATTTCTGAAGGCCACAACTATAGTTTATGCTGCTGAAAAATTGGTTGAAAATCTAATAGATGCAAATGCTACCAAAGAAAAAAAATTATGTACAGTAATTCCAAATGTCATGAAAATCTTAATTGCTCAAATAAATAAACTAAAAAACATTTAATTTTTTATATAATTTATACCAAAAATTGTTAATAATACTTTTCGTTAATATTAGTTTAATTAATATAGTTAATAGTACTTTGATATAATTTACAAAAAATAAATATTTCTAAATGAAATAAGTGGAGTTTTTTTAATCAAATTTAAAATTCTGTACTAAACGCTGTACGATACGCACACGCAACTCAGCGTGCCGATTGGCTAGCGTATGTCAGATGATCACTCTTCAACTTATTATTATCACTTTGCCCGACTAGGTGATAGCAGTATTCATAATGACCGGTCAATTTGATAAATTAATCAATATTTATCAAATTGACACTGCCCTCCCTATTTGGTCATTATTCATAATGCCCGATTAATCACTTTGTCCATAACATATATATGTTGAATTAATAGTAATCATATTTACTTTTTTTTTAAGGTTTAAGATGGCTGAATGAAGTGAATTTTGGTATTTCTTCATTGGTGTTTTGATCATTTACAGGTATGCAGAAATTTTTTCATTTTAATTTAATAGTTTTTAATTCTAATTTATTCTTTCTGATTCTTACAATAATTAAAAATTAAGTTTGTTTTGTAAATGTGAATGAATTAAAAATGTAGTAATTTAATTTCATTATAAAATAATATAAGTTACATTTTATTATAAAGGCATGTAAGTTTTAAATAAAAAGCATTAAGTATTCTGTGTCATATAAAACTACAGATCAGAATCAGAGCTTGTAAAATTATCATTATAAAATTATAAGAATATTAAACATTCTTTAAAAATTACATCATAATGAATTGATTAAAAGATTTTTCATTTTAAAAGTTGTTTAGTTATTGTGACATTGTTTCAATGCTGAGCTGCAATTTATAATCATATTTTAATTTTAAAATCATGTAACTTCCAGTCTAGACCAGAAGTTTTATATATAGATAGTCAGGGTCTATAATACCTAATCTTTCTATATCTGGTTTTGATTTTCATCTAATTTCATTCTTGAGATTAATGAAGGGACAGATGGACAACAGTGAGAATCAATAGAATTGCAATTTTTAAATTGCAGCTCAAGTAGGGATGTACTGTACAGTTGTTTTACAAGGTGAGCTAAATAAAATATCTAAGGTAAATTGTTTTTAGTTTTTCACAATATTTTTAAAATAACCATGGTCTGGTATATATGGTTAACTATTATCTTTCTGGAAAATGGCTGTTTGCAGCCCTGTCATAAAAGGCAGCAAATGAGAGTGCAGAATTTCCTGAATGTACTGATATGCCATCAGTGTCAGATGTGCAGATGACCAACTGTTGTAAGAGATGATTTTCCAGATTAGCCTGCCTGCAGTCAGGTAATGTGTAGCTCAGCAGGAAAGGTGGGATTGAAGCAGTCATTAGTGATTCTCCAAACTTTAATGTGATTGTCGTCTGTTAACAAACAGAACTAAGATTTGTCTGTAAAAGTGTCAAAATGACCCAGAAAGCAGAAAATTTGGCAAAACAGCCATCTTGCTTCCCTCAACTCAGTGTTGTGGCTGAATTAATTTTTGTATAAACCTTTGTTAATCTTGAGTGTAAATGTAATTTAGAACATAAGTTTAAGTATGTTTGTTTTTTTTTGACAAGTAATAAATAAATTTTAAATAAATAATCTAATATCATTTAAAAAACATTAGTGGTCTTTTTGCTTATTATAAATAAATCTAAGAGTATGAAATTAATTTCATTGTTTTCTTAATTTTAGTACATAGAATGGGTAATACCAGCTCAGGTAAACGTGAAAGGGGCTATTCACTTGATCCAGATGGGGCTCCATCTTCACCTGGGAGAGATGAGAAAGCATTTGAATTTGGAGCAAATACAAACAAGAAAAAATTCTTATATCAGTCATCTCTTGATGATAGTGATGATTTTGGTTCATTTAAAGTAAGTTAAATTTATTAATTTTTATGATCATTTAAAAGATATTAAAATATTACTGANATAAACAGATTTTACTTTAATTTTAAGTTATTTTTATATTAATTTGCATCATAATATATGTTAAATAACACAAATGTATGCATGCAGAAATGTAAAGTTCATTTTTTGTGATAAAGACCCTGGCTCTTCTGAAATTCTTGTTTTTGCGATAAAGTCGTGTAGTTTCATTTTTCACTTTCTTTTTCTTTCCTAAAGTAAATGTTGGTATCAGGAGATCGCATCCAAAACGCCTCGTTTTGCTTTTGCACTCCTTTCAAAATCTGGATCATTTGCTACAATTTGATCAACGATTTTGGTTATCATTACCAAACTTTTACTAAGGAAATCTGTAGAGAAATTCTTTGGGTAGAACTGGAAAATAGTGATTCTGAAAACTCTTTGTTTTCAGATTAATATTTTCCAGTTCCACATGAATTTCTTGTTCTGCCAGTTCTTAAAAGTTGTCCTTGGTAAGGCTCTCACCAGAAACCTGCAGTAACTCCTAAATATATACTGCTCATCTACATCTAGTCCTGCTGAATCGATTAGGTTGACAATTTGGTCAATAGGCTCTTCTCATTGAGAATTCTTGAATATCTTCAGCCATAAATTTTTTCACACTCCGTTCATGCATTTATCAGTTAATTCTTGCCATGCCAAGCCAATATTGCCTATGGCATCGATGATGATATATTTTTTCCAAAATTGCACCAAACAAACATAGATTTAAATAAAGTACACCTTTTTGCTACCTTTTTCTGATTGGTTCATGTTTGTAAATAATTGTATTATGTACAAATTAATAAAATGCCACAATAATTTAAATTGGTGTAAATTTTGAGCTTTTTTTTAGGCTTTGAGCAGACTGCATTATATCGAGTCAGCATTAAGTGAGGCAGCGTTAAGCAAGGTCTTACTGTATTTAAAATAATAATATATTAAAAACAAATAATTTAGTAGTAACTAGTTAAATGTAGTTAAATTAGTATTTCTAAATATTGCCATAAAACAGTAAATTGTTAGTGCTGAAAGCAAACACAGTTGATGAAATACTAAAAATGCTATTAATAAACAAATCATAATTTTAGGCTTTATAAAGCATAGGATATTCAAAAAATAAAAAAAATAATAACCAATCAGAAGAATTGCATTTTAGATGAAGTATGTTGAACTCTTTCCTTCAGTAGTTTGCTGATTGTTCTGACTGTTAAGTTATTTTACCATTTTTATTCTGTTCTGTAATGGCATTTTTTCTATTATCTTAGGAATTGTCATGTTCATATACTAATTAACTATTTATAACTAAATTCATTAACAAATTCATAAATTTAATTAGTATCTGAACAAAATTATGTGTCAAAGTCTCTGTAAATACTGGTTATTGTTTTAATGTTCAGTTTTATACAACAAAACAATTTTTGAATGGATTAATCATCTGGGTAGTGTTTGAATAATTTTTTTCTGTATTCTTTAACATTTTGTACTAAGTCAAATGTGATGAAATTAAAAAAATAAGAGAAAAATTAAACATTTAAAAATTATTATTACTGAAGTATTATGTAATTTTGTGTTTACAAATAACTATTCTTTCATGAACATTTTTAGGATTTACAGAGTTTCATTTTTCAAATTTTAAGAATCTTGTCTTTGCATATTACTTCTTATAAATATAAATATGGATACATAACAATTTAATGGAAAAAAACTGCATTTTGAGTTTTATTTTGAAGATATTAAAATTTTATTCTGAACTTTCAGAATGAAAGTATTTATGGAGTATGTTAATAATTAAATGTTTTCATTTGAGCTTTTGTATTGAAACTAATTTTGAATAATAAAAGTAAAAGTACTCATTGTTTTTATAGAAATAAGAAATAAAGATTTGTTATGGTTTCTGAATTTAACATTTTTTCCTAATAGTATTAAAATACTCATAAAGAATACAACATATTGCATAAGATATAATGTAGATCTTTACGTGAAATTGCTTTCAAATCCAAAAATAGCTTTTTTATCATATAGCTTATCTTGAAAATTCATCAAAAATGATTAAATTTTGGGAAAAATTTATAAAAATTGTAAAATTGAAATATATTTTGAACTTACTGTCCAGTTCTTATCAATATATATTTTATTCAAATGGCCCATACAATGCAACTTATAAAATAATAATTTTATAAATTAGAAGTCCAGAAAGGTTTGCTATTATTTTGAAGAAATTTATGAGCAAGAGAAATACAAATCTTCATCGTCATTGTTATTTGTCTTGACAAAAACAATATAAATGATTCAAAAATATTAATACAGTAAGACCTTGCTTAACATGGGGGATACGACATGGTTCCTAGGCGACAAAGTGCTAAACGAAACAGCATTAAACGAGGTCATTTTAAAATAGAGTAAATAGGGAAAGGGGAACATGTGACCAAAAATAAACAGATTTTACTTTAATTTTAAGTTATTTTTATATTAATTTGCATCATAATATATGTTAAATAACACAAATGTATGCATGCAGAAATGTAAAGTTCATTTTTTGTGATAAAGACCCTGGCTCTTCTGAAATTCTTGTTTTTGCGATAAAGTCGTGTAGTTTCATTTTTCACTTTCTTTTTCTTTCCTAAAGTAAATGTTGGTATCAGGAGATCGCATCCAAAACGCCTCGTTTTGCTTTTGCACTCCTTTCAAAATCTGGATCATTTGCTACAATTTGATCAACGATTTTGGTTATCATTACCAAACTTTTACTAAGGAAATCTGTAGAGAAATTCTTTGGGTAGAACTGGAAAATAGTGATTCTGAAAACTCTTTGTTTTCAGATTAATATTTTCCAGTTCCACATGAATTTCTTGTTCTGCCAGTTCTTAAAAGTTGTCCTTGGTAAGGCTCTCACCAGAAACCTGCAGTAACTCCTAAATATATACTGCTCATCTACATCTAGTCCTGCTGAATCGATTAGGTTGACAATTTGGTCAATAGGCTCTTCTCATTGAGAATTCTTGAATATCTTCAGCCATAAATTTTTTCACACTCCGTTCATGCATTTATCAGTTAATTCTTGCCATGCCAAGCCAATATTGCCTATGGCATCGATGATGATATATTTTTTCCAAAATTGCACCAAACAAACATAGATTTAAATAAAGTACACCTTTTTGCTACCTTTTTCTGATTGGTTCATGTTTGTAAATAATTGTATTATGTACGAATTAATAAAATGCCACAATAATTTAAATTGGTGTAAATTTTGAGCTTTTTTTTAGGCTTTGAGCAGACTGCATTATATCGAGTCAGCATTAAGTGAGGCAGCGTTAAGCAAGGTCTTACTGTATTTAAAATAATAATATATTAAAAACAAATAATTTAGTAGTAACTAGTTAAATGTAGTTAAATTAGTATTTCTAAATATTGCCATAAAACAGTAAATTGTTAGTGCTGAAAGCAAACACAGTTGATGAAATACTAAAAATGCTATTAATAAACAAATCATAATTTTAGGCTTTATAAAGCATAGGATATTCAAAAAATAAAAAAAATAATAACCAATCAGAAGAATTGCATTTTAGATGAAGTATGTTGAACTCTTTCCTTCAGTAGTTTGCTGATTGTTCTGACTGTTAAGTTATTTTACCATTTTTATTCTGTTCTGTAATGGCATTTTTTCTATTATCTTAGGAATTGTCATGTTCATATACTAATTAACTATTTATAACTAAATTCATTAACAAATTCATAAATTTAATTAGTATCTGAACAAAATTATGTGTCAAAGTCTCTGTAAATACTGGTTATTGTTTTAATGTTCAGTTTTATACAACAAAACAATTTTTGAATGGATTAATCATCTGGGTAGTGTTTGAATAATTTTTTTCTGTATTCTTTAACATTTTGTACTAAGTCAAATGTGATGAAATTAAAAAAATAAGAGAAAAATTAAACATTTAAAAATTATTATTACTGAAGTATTATGTAATTTTGTGTTTACAAATAACTATTCTTTCATGAACATTTTTAGGATTTACAGAGTTTCATTTTTCAAATTTTAAGAATCTTGTCTTTGCATATTACTTCTTATAAATATAAATATGGATACATAACAATTTAATGGAAAAAAACTGCATTTTGAGTTTTATTTTGAAGATATTAAAATTTTATTCTGAACTTTCAGAATGAAAGTATTTATGGAGTATGTTAATAATTAAATGTTTTCATTTGAGCTTTTGTATTGAAACTAATTTTGAATAATAAAAGTAAAAGTACTCATTGTTTTTATAGAAATAAGAAATAAAGATTTGTTATGGTTTCTGAATTTAACATTTTTTCCTAATAGTATTAAAATACTCATAAAGAATACAACATATTGCATAAGATATAATGTAGATCTTTACGTGAAATTGCTTTCAAATCCAAAAATAGCTTTTTTATCATATAGCTTATCTTGAAAATTCATCAAAAATGATTAAATTTTGGGAAAAATTTATAAAAATTGTAAAATTGAAATATATTTTGAACTTACTGTCCAGTTCTTATCAATATATATTTTATTCAAATGGCCCATACAATGCAACTTATAAAATAATAATTTTATAAATTAGAAGTCCAGAAAGGTTTGCTATTATTTTGAAGAAATTTATGAGCAAGAGAAATACAAATCTTCATCGACACACAGACACTTACCAATAGGGTATCATGGCCTTATTTTTAGAAAAATTTTTTTAAATATCTTAAAATAAGAAAAAAAAAGCACGGACACATGTGTTAGATTAAATTAATATTTTTAGTTTAGTATTGTAAAAGAAAGTGATTAAATCATTCAAAGAGAAAATCTTTTGTTTAGAATTCCTTTGATGGCTTTATAATTAACATATTTATCCCTTATTTTGATTAGAATGTGAATTCCAAATCTGTACTAAATATTTACAGGTTCATCAAAAATATTTTTTTGACATTACTTAAATATACTA